GGATGGAGTTTAATCCACCCCAGCCCTTGCTCTTACTGCGGAGGCAAGAAATGCTGTGATGGTTTCAATGTAATTCATAAATGGTGCTGTTCTATTGTCATAATAAAGCCACTTAGACGGGATGTTATTTCATGCTTCCGGGCAAAATCTGCTTAGTTTTTGCTCCCCAAAGTGTATTGCAGACACCGTAATTGCAAAATAACATTCCCAAAATAGCTTGGCACATCATGTTGAAGGATCCATAGTACCCATTTTGGCGTATTTGTCTGGCTTGTAATTCTGGGGGAATGCATGTGTTTTCCCCCCAGAGACCTGAGGTCCCTTAGGAGGAAATAGGTATGTTCAGTCACGGCAGCTAAGGGAAGGGGCTTGGGGTGCACCAGCAGGAGCTTGTGGGAGGTGCTGGGCAGCCTGGGGTCCCACCACCCTGGGAAGGGAATTCTGAGTATATCAGTTATGATGATTTTTAAAATGAGCTCCCAGACTGAACATGAGAATTGAGAAGAATGTCTCCTCCAAAGAAGAGACTCCTACAGACCCGTGAGGAGCCCCGGGCTGAAGTCTTGGGGACAGTCACGGTCCCCATCTTAGGACTTGGGGCACCGCCCTGAGACACGCTGTCCGGGCCTGTGCCTGGGTGGACACGTGGCCCGGGTGACCCCAGCCCAGGCCCCTGACACGTGGCCCAGGCGACCCCAGCCCAGGCCCCTGACACGTGGCCCAGGCGACCCCAGCCCAGGCCCCTGACACGTGGCCCAGGCGACCCCAGCCCAGGCCCCTGCTGCCCTGCTTCTGGAGGATCAAAGGCTTTTCACAGCCTTCAGAAACACTGAGAAGTGAAGTTAAAGCAAGTGTCTGCTCTGCTCTCACCCTGCATCCAGAGAGGCAGGGTGGCATTCCATTCCTGTCTCTCCAGGTGCTCTGAGTACCCGGCCCGACCAGCTCAGGGACAGCCGGACTCACTTCCCTGTCTCGCCTGCTGGTTTCTGTTCCCCTGGCTTGTTTGTCCGTCCAGGAGTCCCAGCCAGCGGCTGCTAGTGAGCCCCTGATACCCTGTCACCTGCTGACAGCCCCTGTCAGAAACACCCACAGACCCACACTTCACGTCAGGAGTCCTGGGGGCCCCAGAGCCCAGTGCACCTTGAGCCCATAGCAACAGCTTTCTAACAGTCTGCAGAACTGACCCATGGTGGGGGCGGGGAGGGGTTTTAATTCTTAGCCTTGTACAACACGTACAAATATACAAACAAGCTCTTGATTTAAAAAAAAACTTTTCTTGAGAGAAGGCTCTTGTTAGACTACATCTCTCTTGGAGCTATATTACAAGGATATTCACACTGGCATATGGCACACAATGAGATGTTATCAAATATTGAGTATTAATGTCAGCTTGACAGCATTTGGCTTACTGAGATTTTTCCTTAAAGCAATTACATTCTCTGGAAAAATGACTTAACTTAGTGATATTTCCTAATTTACTTAAAATATGCACTTGACATTTTAACTAAAGTGTGGTTTTAAATATATTTGACATTTTAAAATCACAAACACTGATTATGCAATGTACACAACTTGTAATTTAGGCACACACCCCTCTGTAATGGAGTTATCATTCCCTCGTTCATTTATAGAAGTAAAATGAAAACACTCCGTCTTCTCTTCCGTCAGGTTCCCACTCAACCTGCTCTTCGCTCTCCACGACTACGACATCTAACACTCAAGATCATTACACTATTCTATCTTAAATACCTCAAATGATAGTACAGGGCAAAATATTTTGGATCTATTTCTAGATGAAATTCACCTAGGTAATTTGTTGAGAAATAGGAGAGGAATGAACTTGTTCCATTCTGAAATTCATGTTTCTGCGGCGTAAACGTGTACCTGAGCGATAGAGGTGCAGCCACCGACCTTCCTCTGACAATCACTCACGGGTGACGGGCGGCCTCTGTCATTTACCCAGAAGGCTGCATGTGAGAAAGGAATCCATTTATCGCAGATGAAAATTTACGAAATCAGGTGCCACAGGACAACAGGGATGTAACTAAAACAGACGGAGAGACAGAGGCTCTTTTCCACTGACACCAAAACCACTATTTTTAGTAAGGATGAAATTGATTTTTTTAACCAAGTGTCCTTACATGGAATTCCTTTTCCAAACTTCTTACTCCTGTGAACATGTCCAGTGGGCCTTGGATGAAAGCCTCCTGCTTCACCTAAGCTAACGGGCTGATGTTGTGCAGAGTGGCTGGTGCAAGCACAGCACCCGCTCACGGCTCGCATCTGCCATCAGCCAGCGATCAAGCCCGCCAGACTAGAGAATCATACTCACTGGGCCTGCGCAGCAACAAGCTGGCAGACACAAAACCGCGGGCAGAGAGGGCACTTGCGCCTAGATCCACATTCTCATGATCTCCAGAGGCTTCAGATCGGGACGCTTTACTTCTCTGAGCTCCTTTCTTTCTGCGTCTCAGCATGTGTTGTAGGGGGTACTTGGTTTGAGACAGAACGAAGAGGGGAAAGCCAGTCAGTCATCTTCCTGGTTTTGTCATGTTCACTTCCAATGGCATTACTTCATCTAGTAACTATCCCCTCAGAGTTAAAATGAGAAATAAGTGAGTTTACTGATACACTACAATACATGCAAGGGAGAAAAATTAGAAAGGAAGCAAACAAATGGAATTTTGGACAAAACAACTTTGACAGTTCTTTGGAAAACTCCAGAAACATGGCTGTACATTATCTACTTGTCACCACAAAGATGCTTGATTGGCCCTGGGATTTCTTTTTGGCAGGGAGGGAAGGATGGAGTGCTAAAATTAATCTAGCTTCTCAGGCAGAGCAGGTATTCCTTACTGGAAGTTAAACGTTTAGACAACTCGAAGGTTTTTTTTTTTTTTTTCCAAAGGTGTTCGTGCCTGTGTCCTCTGCTGTGTAAGATGTGCGCTCCTTAGTGTGTTTGCAGAGGCTGTGAAGGAGGAGATTCTGCCTCTGTTCTTACAAGACTTCTTGCACAGGGTCGAAAGCCAGGGCTGCAGACGTCCTGTGTGCTCAGAGGGGCAGGCTGCGTCTCTCCTTCCTCCTCAGCGACTGTCCACCCCAGTCCTCCCTACTGAGCCGGGAATGAAAACACTCCACTCCAACTTGAAGACGGGGGTACCGAGCCATTCTGTCTGTGTCTGGCCATGCTAAACACTTCAAACCTCCAACAGGCTATTACTTGCAAGAGCCCTTAGCATGCTTCATGTCTGAGCTAAAATAGTTTAACTATGTCTCCTGTGAAATCACCATACCCTGGTTAAGTAAAGAAGACAAAATTGGTGTTTATTTCAAGTGCTAGCACACATTACTTCATATCTAACATCTGCTAACAGGTATTTTCAACTTCAACATAGTTGATTGCTAAATAAAGTTAGCCTCAATGTATCTGTTCAAGTTGTTTTTGAGAACGAATAAGAATTTTTGTTATTAAATACTGAGTTGGGCTTTCTACTACCCTGATGACTTCGACATTAATATTTTCTTGAGATTCACGCTGCCTCGGCCTTTCCAATGTATTTCCCAAAGCATTTAATTCGATAAAAATGTTGCCGTGCAATGTTGCAGAGACTCTCTAGAGTCCTTGCTGTCCCCAGTAGTGACATCTTCCAAATGACAGCGCAGTGATGGCCCCAAAGCGTGACCTGGGGCAGGGAAACTACAGAACATTTTTTCCCATGGGAGGAATTTCTGGGGTAAATGCCAAAGAAATTGATTGCTGAGCTGGACATAGCTGCATGTTAATTTTTTAAGTCCATGAAAACTGTTTTGCAGAATGACTTTCCAGTTTATATTCTGACTAGACGCATATGAGTACCAATTCCTAAGAAATATCAGCTATAGATGATGACCAAAGCCAAAGCTTTCATGAGGGTTAATACAGTAAATAAAATGGAAATAAAAGCTTCAAAGAATTGGCACCAAAGCCTAAAATTGCACTGAACAGTAAAATAATGGGCTATAAACGCGGGCAGTATTTGTAGTATCAGTCTTCCTTAAACACCGTCTTTGGAACATTTTAAAGCCTGATGATTCTGCCACTTTATGACACTATTATTGTCTTGCACTTGTGCATGGTGAGTCAGATTCTGCAAACATGGAGACTCACTGTGCACCTTTCGGCAGCTGAGCTGGGCAGCTGACACAAAATGACTGTGAAGCCAGGTTTCCTCCTGTAGGGCACAGACCGTGGGGCCAATTCCTTTGACGTCAGAGCTTTGTGGGGGGGGAGCCCACAAGAAAGCACAGGTCTGCAGCAAACACTGGGTCAATATAATCTGATCAACCTAAATGTAATCTGATCCACCCCATCTTCAGACTTACAGGTGATAGGTCTTGAATGATTGTGTGCGTGATTGCACCAGTTCATACACCCAGAAGAGTTCCGGCTTCCTCATCACCGTTAAAACTGTTAAATATGTCCAAATAGTGATCAATGAAAAATATTTCTCAAGACCCAAAATATTTGTCTGGAAAAACATCAATTATTTTACCTCTGCTCAAGTAGCTGCTTTTTTTTCCATGTAATACATTTTCCTCTCAAAAGAAACTGTGATTTGTGTTGAGGACACATGAGAATAAACTCATGAAATATGAGCTATGGACGTTCTACCTAAATTGCAGGAGAAAATGAATGCTTTGTTAAGCTCAGGTGGTACCTTACAGCCTCACAAAGCAAGTGTTCAACTCAGCCCTGCTGTGCTAACTTCTTCTAAGACAAATTCTTTCTCCTCAAAAAATTTTCTTGTATTTATGTAGATGAACAAATTCTGGTGCCTGAAAGAAATGAATTAAAACACAAATAATCAATTTTACAGGATACCATAGTAAGCCTACCAGAATCAAAAGGGTTGTGAGAGAATCTCAAGTAAGATTCTCTCACAAAGGTGCGTATTGTAACTTTGGTGTTTTCAGGTTGCGTGGGATGGCTTCTGACTGCACTCTGTCTGCTCTTGATCCAGGTTGTCGGGATTTCAGCTGCCCTCCTCTATCGTGAGCACGGGCTCCATTCTGACGCTGTGGTTCACAACGGACTTTGCTGTCAGTGCCCAGGGTTTCAAAGCCCTGTACGAAGGTAAGCGACCACTGCTCTCTTCTCTCGCTCTTAGTGCTCCGAGGGCTGGCGTCCACCGTGTGAGTGAGCCCTGCCGTGCCCTTGCAGGGTCGAAAGCACTGACTGCTGGCCACCCCTGGCCCACATGCCTGTGCTTTCCGTTCTCGGTGCAGATGTCTCGATTGGATGATGTTTGTTATCCTGTAATAGGAAAAGCTTGAAAACGTTTAGTATAAGTTCTTCACACTGCTTAGTGATGGGCCCCTTCCTAATACGGAAGATTGGCAGAAAACATCTGCTGGAGAGAAGTTTTGCTCATCGGGGCTTATTTAATGCTAATGTCATAAAATGAGCTTCGTGGTCAAAGTTGAAAACCTGTATTTAGAAAATTAATTTGCCTTAGTGTTGGTTGATCCCTGCAAAAGGAGGGATTTGTTTGTTTGTTGTTTTTGTGTCTTGGAATTTGTGTTTGGATATCATTTGGATCTTGTTGTTTTCTAAGCTGCTTGAATGGAAATTTAAAAAGCAGATTGAATTTTGAAAAGAGAATTGTTTTAAAAAATTGATAATATTTTATGTATATAACGGCTACAATGTGTATACTTTCATCTTGTTTGGCCTGGAGATTTTAAATACACTTCCATGTATAATATTAAAATCATCATTTTGATACAAAGTTTGGAGCTTAAAATTAACAGTTGCATGTATGTATATTGGCACATGCATGCATAGATAGATGGATGATAGGTAGGTAGATAGATAGACAAACAGTATGTATATAGATCTGGATGTCTAGGCTATGTCCCAAACACTTTTTTTTTTGGTCAGTTGTGGGGCTTGAACTCTGGGCTTGAGCACTGTCCCTTTGCTCTTCAGCTCAAGGTGAGCGCTCTACCACTTGAGCCACAGCACCACTTCCAATTTTCTAGTAGTTTACTGGAGATAAAGAGTCTGACACACTTTCCTGCCTGGACTGGCTTTGAACCGCCATCCTCAGATCTCAGCCTCCTGAGTAGCTAGGATGACAGGCGTGAGCCACCGGCGCCCAGCTTCCCAAATACTTTTTGTACTACCCATATTCTTACTTAGAGTATTCATTGCACTCCAAGAAAATATTCTTTATGGAGAGTTAAAAATCTATTTGTGGCACATGTGACTGAGCAATACAGTTATCAGAAAATGCAAGAGTATAGCATGTTTGCTCTATGGACATAAAGCAGTTGAGTGTGTTCTTGTACAAATGTGGACTGCTGTCTTTGAGAACGTTTTTCATGGACTACAATTAGTGGCTTTGAAACATTAATCACATTCAAGTAAATTACTCTCAAGGCATAATTGGTTCTTTGGAAAGCAACATGGTAATGCAAGTTCAATGGGTATTAGGAGCTTTCAAGTTTGTTACTGCTTCCCGGAAACCTTACAATCAATTTCTTTTGGTGGGGGCTTCACACCGTAGAAGCTTCTGCAAAGCAATCAAGGCTAGCCACCTGTGACTCTGTCCTTGTCCAGTCTACATATCTGATATTTGTTTAGAAGGCAGATAATATTTTCACAGCCTAGGAGCCACGGCAACTTTACTCTCCTTCACAATACAGTTGATACTTGATCACCTTGGTTTTCTGGATTCCCGACGGTTAATGCAGAAGCTCCCTGAGTGATAAGTGATTGCAAAGTGAATAATTCTAGCAAATAGTTCTTGGATATTGTTGGGTTTACTGGCTGCCATGACACTGTATTTTAAAGCAATTGGTGAGATTGTCTCTGTTGGAATAATACTTAAGTATTATTAAAAAAAAGACTAGATACATGACTAGAAAAGTAAATAGGACTATAAGTTCCATTAATTATTTTCATAAAAATGTTATACAAGCTGGGTTGGGTGTCACACATAAATAATCCCAATAACAGGAAGGATAAAGCAAGGAGATCAAGTATTTGTGGCTGGCTTCAGCTCTACAATAACATCTGTCCCCCAAAAGAGCAGCCTGCATGTATATGATATATTAAATGTACCTATATGCTCACATATACACATAGAATAGGGAGAAGGTACGGTATAATTTATACTACTGTTTTGGTCATTCTGGGGTTCAAATTCAGAGTTTCACTCTCAATAGGCAAGTGTTATACTAGTTGAGCCAAGATTCCAATAATTCATACTTTAGTATGTAATTCATACTTTAAATAGTAATATGATGGCATTATCTAGCCTAGTAGTATCTATTTCTAGCCCGTACTTTAAAAGGAAAAAGCTCCAGTGAAATTGCCAAGATGTCATATCAGCAAAACCAAACTTCTGTTCATTATTTAATATCTATATTTTTAAGATATTTCTCAATTAGCCTAAAAGTCTTCTGGGAAAATGAAAGTACGCTGGCTTGAAACTGTAATATTCTGAAAGGAATATTCCAGAGCCTGCAGGAGAACAAAGCCTGCACTACCAGCACTAGAATTTCACCAATATCAACAAGTACCCCTGGAAATGATAGCAAGGCTGGGGGAGAGGGGAGCTTGGAGCAGGACTGTGCACAGCAAACACACTTATTCTCATTCAAATGTGCGCAAGGTGAAGACAGGACCGATCACTCTGTCAGGGATTGTGCAGTTATTTTGTCATTTATTATTTACATTCCATTTTTGATGATTTGGGTCTCTTTCCATCCTAGTCACTTAGGTTAAAGTGATAGTCCATCTAGTAAGTTCTAGGACACAAGTGATAAAAAATTTCTATGTGTCATCTATGATCTCTAATGGAAATTGAATTTAGATATAAAATATTAAATCAACTCTTAAAATACTCTTCTGAAGTCCTTAATGTATTTAAATTAAAATTAAGACTTATTTAATATTACTAAATTGCTGTTTAAATATTCATTTAAGTTTATTGGCTTGATTTTAGAAAATTTTCAACCTTCCAAGATCTATCTAAACATGGTAACTTTGGCAGAGAACATAAAGTGGGCACTTGACTCAAGTTGATCTTGGCAACACTTTGGAATAAATATTAACATAAATTTTTATTCATACATGGGAGTATTGAGCTACATAATGAGTATGGAAACAATAAATTAAAATATCCCAATTAATGTTTTCAGCCATTGAATTTAATTCTGCAAATCAAGCAGAAATATTTATAAATTTCTTCCTGACGCTACTCAAGGGAAGTGCTTGGCTTTCTATGCATGAGATCTTAGCTAGGAGGTTTATGGATGGCCATTGAAATCAATACCTTTAACTGACCAATACAAAGTAAAATCAAAGTTACTAACTTAGCCTCTTAGATTACTTTATTGCTAGTTCTATCTATTTTCTTGGTAAAACTTACAGCAAAGTATTAATGTATTAAGTTTCTGTATACTTGACAATGGGAAAGATTTCTATACAAATTCTAAGATATGCCTGAAAGTACTATTTCCATACATGGCCTTAGTTCCTGTATCTCTGTCTAATGCATTAAGATCTTCATTAGTTTAAACATGCATGGTTTTGTCATCAAGTTTATCTGTATCTGGACAAATACATGGGCTGGGAGACCAGACAAATGATGCGATGATGTCACACAGGTGACACTGGACTCAAGGACTTCAGAGCTGCTACTCTGCAGCTTCCACTATCTGCTCCCTCCCTCCCTCCCTCCCTCCCTCCCTCCTTCCCTCCATCCCTCCCTCCCTTCCTACCTCTCTCCCTCCTCTTTCTCTTTCTCTCTTTGTTTCTATATATTTAAATTTTGAGGCACACTAGTGTTTGAACTCGGGACCTTGTGCTGGCTTACTGAAGGTTTAAACTGTAATAAAGTGTTTTCTGACAATTTCCTTTATGAATAACAAAATAGCCTAAACATTAGAAGCAGCCCTGGCACACACTTACTGAAAATTCATAGACTCAATGTTTTAGGTATTTTGATCCTGACATATGGAGTCTAAATGTCTATTTTTAATAGAAATTTTCTTTGTTACTCTGTCATTACTTCTGAAAATAATTTCAAATATATCATAACCTCTTAAGATAATTCTTTTGTACATTGAATTTGAATAGTCTAAATAGTGGTTTATTCTAAAAATTCAGTTTCTGTGAATTATTTATTATAATTTAGTCTGGCTTTCTAGGGGTTTTTAAAAGTGAAATCATTTTTTATTGAAGATGACTGTATTTTTTATGAGCTGGGGTTTTGTGTGTGAATGAAAGTAGAATATTCACATATAATGCAAATTATATTTAGATGGACAATACCAATGCTGTGAATCAATGTAATGAGTTCAAGAGTCATGGACAGTACCAATGCTGTGAATCAATGTAGTGAGTTCAAGAGTTATTTGTCATGGTAAATGCTTGCGGCATATATTTCTCAGTAATGAATGGTTGTTGCATAGGTTGAGAATTAACAGGTGGCAAAGCTTATTGAAGAAATGGCAGTTTAAAAGATAAATATGACTGAAAAAATATGCATTTTGAACAGGTACTGATATTTGCAATAATCAACTTGGCAAGATAAAAAATATTCAAATTGTAATATTGAAAACGCAAGCTGATTAAAAAAATATGCACAATGATTATGTGTCCATTAAAACCAACACTTAAACAGTGTTTACAAATCCTCATGTCATTTTGACAAGTAGCTCACTTTCTTTTCCCTGAAAAACTGAATGGAATGACCGCCGGTGAGGGCTCCACCTGGCGATTTGGGTTTCATTTCTCTGCAGTGAAGGTCTTCTCTCACCAGAAGTTTCTACAAAACACATAGGGAAACAAAGGAATTCTAGGATCCACATTATAGCCAGGCGCTCCTTTCTAAAAATCAATTGTCTTAGTGCAAGTCACTAAATTACATCTTTTAATGCCGAGAAAGCGTGGTCCCCACGCATTAATGTTCAGAACAAGCTGGCCTCTACTTTCACCTGCTCCTCGCACTCTCGCTAGGGAAAGTGAGTCTCGCTACAAAAGCCCCTTTCCTCCATGCTTTCCTGTGTAATTAACTCTGGGGCCAGGCGGGGCTTTCTTGTTTCTTCCTTCTTGCTGAATTT